ATTTTCCGCATTCCCGCCATATTCTAACTCTTCCCGTCTTTTCCGCTCTTCCCACCATTTTCAAGACTTACGTATTTTGTTGCAATTTTCTATATAAAACACCTAAATACTTATTTTCCGCATTCCCGAGATATTCTTACTCTTCCCGCCTTTTCCGTTCTTCCCGCCATTTTCAATCCTTACATATTTTGTTGCAATTTTCTATATAAAACAGCTAAATACATATTATTTATTTTTTACGCGATGCTCTTACTCTTCCGACTCTCCCCGTCATTTGTCAATACTTTCGCTTTTCATTGCCGTCATCGCCATCAATTACCGTTGTTCCCGTCATCGCCGCTTATTTAGAGAATTTCCCTTATACCCACCCAATTTTCAGTGAAATTTCATAAAATATCACATAGTTCCTACTCATGAGTAATATTTTCCGTAATTTCCGCTTTTTAATACAGTTTCTTGTACCTACACATTCAAGTGTATATTTCCCGTTGCTCTCGCCTTCTAGTACAATTTCCCGTACATACACAATAAAATGCCCATTTCCCCCATCTTAGAGCAATTTCCCGTCATTCCCACTTTGTGTGAAATTCCCCGCTATTTAGTGAAATTTCCCCTACATACACTCTAAAATGCATATTTTCCCTATTTTAGAGCAATTTCCCCTCTTTCCCGCATTTCGTAACATTCTCCCGCTTATTAGTAAATTTTCCCGTCATTAGGGGCCTAAAATGCGGGAAACGGGAACGACGGGAAATGCACTTAAAAACGGGAACTGCGGGAACGACTGGAAATACCCACTTTCAAATTGCGGGAAGTACGGGAAATTTCACGAAAAGCGGGAATGACGGGAAGTTACTTTGATGTACAGGAAATATGTATTTTGAAGTATGTGTGGGGTAAATATGCAATGAAAGGCGAAAGCAACGGAAAGTTTATACTTGAGTGTGCATGTACGGGACAATTACACTAAAATACATATTTCCTGTATCTTAAAGTTCATTTCCCGTCATTCCCGCTTTTTGTAACATTTTCCCGCTTATTAGTAAAATTTCCCTATAATGCGGGAAACGGGAATGACGGGAAATGCACTAAAAAGCGGGAACTGCGGGAACGACGGGAATTTGTCAATTTGAAATTGCGGGAATCAACGGGAAATTTCACAAAAAACGGGAATGACAGGAATTTGCTTTAGGGTATGGGAAATATGTATTTTAGAGTATGTGTGAGGTAAATTTTCACTGAAAGGCGAAAGTAACGGCAAGTTTATACGGTGCTCCCGAGTATGTTCATCAAGATGGCGCCCAACCTGAACCAAGTATGTGTACCAAGTCGAAGCTCAGGTTGTGCGCCATTTTGTTGCAAATACTTCCGAAGTGCCGTTAATTCTTAAGTGTGCATGTACGTAGTAGTCGTACTATAATACATATTTCCTTTCTCTTCAAGCGATTTTCCGTCATTCCCGCTTTTTCTGACATTTTCCCGCTTGTTAGTAACTTTTCCCGTCATTCCCGTTTCCCGCATTTTAGGGCCCTAAAATGCGGGAACTGCGGGAGCGACGGGAAATGCACTAAAATGCGGGAACGACGGGAATTTGTCAATTTGAAATTGTGGGAACTACGGGAAATTTCACAAAAGACGGGAATGACGGGAATTTGCTTTAGGGTATGGGAAATATGTATTTTAGAGTATGTGAGGGGTAAATATGCATTGAATAGCAAAAGCAACGGCAAGTTTATACGGCGCTCTCGAAGTATTGCAACAAGATGACGCACAACCTGAACATAGTATGTATACCAGATTAGAGTTCAGGTTGTGCGTCATCTTGTTGCACATACTTCCGGAGTGCCGTTTATACTTGAGTGTGCATGTACGGGGTAATTGTACTAACATACATATTACCCGAATCTTAGAGCGATTTCCCGTCACTCCCACTCTTTGTGAAATTTTTCGCTTTTTAGTGAAATTTCCGTATCCACACAACCCAAGCGTATATTTCCCGTACTTTAACGCGATTTGCCGTCGTTCCCGCATTTTAGATAAATTTTCAAGTACATACACCCCCAAGCGAATATTAACCATTGCTTCCGCTTTCTAGAACAATTTCCCCTAAACATACCCCAAAATGAATATTTCCCGTACCTTAAATCGATTTCCCGTCATTCCCGCTTTTTGTGAAATTTCCCGCTTTTTAGTGAAATTTCCCGTAGTTCCCGTCATTCCCGCATTTTAGTTTTTGCAATTTCCCGTCGTTCCCGCATTTTAGTGCAATTCTCGTAGTTCCCGTTTCCCGCATTTTAGGGTTGCCCGAAATTCAATATGTATCAGTAGAGCAGGGGTCGGCAACCTACGGCCCGCGGGCCGGATCCGGCCCGCGGAGCACTATAATCCGGCCCGCGACGATTCACTAAATTATGGTAACAAAACATCCGTTTTGACGAATATATTCTTTATATTATAATCTAACAATTATATAATTAACAATTACTCGTTTATTGAGCATATAATTTAATTATAATTAAGCAAATGGCAACAAAACGCAGAAAAGTTGATGCTAAGTGCAAAGGGTTCAATGGCGCCGAAAATATGCAAATGAATTTTATGAGATGCAATGAGGAAATAAATCTATACTCTATTCGAGAGATGTATCACTGCTTGATTTTTATTATAAAAAAAAACCATCCGTTCGATTTTTCAACTTAAAATATGTGCGGCCCGCCAATGACTTGCACCCTTAATTTTGGCCCGCGAGCGACCCTGCAGTAGAGGGTTGCGCGGGTCTCGTGTAGTTTCGTACCTAACATACTTCTAGTGGGCGTAGCATGACAATTTTTTCACGTATCAATCCTAACCCCCACCTGACTACACCATCCAAAAATTACGTCAAGATGACGTCACAGTGACGTAATAGAGCCCTTCAAACTATACGAACTGCAATCCGAGACGCGCAAACGAGCACCCGAAATCGAACAGTTATTTCTCTCGTTTTCTCGTCGCAACGATTCCGATAGGAGAGAGATCCATAATGTCAGTCAGTTCTTTATCGTCGGCGCCAATGCCATTTCGGGCTCTATGACGTGATTGTGATGTCGTAGTGACGTAGTACGTATATTTGGCAAGCTTTATGACGTGATTGTGATGTCGTAGTGACGTAATTTTTGGATGGCGTAGTCAGATGGGGGTTAGGATTGACATATCATTGCGTAGCAAAACAATTGGCGCATGTTCACTAAACGACGTAAGTACTGGCATTTGGCGTGGCACAACAACCACTTTTGCATATGTTATTCCTAACTCCCACATGGCTCCGTCATTCATTGATTACGTCACCACGACCTCACAATCATGTCAAGAGCTTGCCAAAGTATAGCTACGATCAAGTGCAGTTTTAAGTATTCTATGGCGTCTGCAGCTGCCGCAAAACCATGGCGGTATTTCCATACCATGGCCGCTACGGCCAAACCTATGGCGACTGATTTTTTAGCTGCCACAAACCAATGTCGAGGTAAAACCAATGTCAACCAATGGCAGGTAAAATTTTGCTGCCGTAACCGCGGCAGGTGGGCCATAAGGACAGGGCTGTCCCTTATGGTGACAAATATTGGGTAAGTTGGAACGTTTTTCTTATGGATACAGTCTTGATGGATTCGGAGTTAGGGTTTAAGTAGATATAATTCCGCATGATCAATTAGAATTTGGTACATTAGTTTGTGAATATACCGTTAATACTGAATACAGAATAGCGCTATAAAACCATGGCAAGAGCTGCCGCGGTTCGTTCGTGGCAGGAGCTGCCATGAAGTGGTAAGAACTGCGCCTCGCTACGATCGCCCGAAATGGCATCTTCGCCAACACCAGCAATCTCTACCATATCTACATCGTTGCGACCAAAAAACGAGAGAAATAGCTTGCTCGATTTCGGGTGACTGTCTGCGCGTCTTGGATGACAGTTAGAAAGTTCGCAAGTACTTCCATTGGGCGTAGCATAACGATTTTTGCATATGCTATTCCTAACCCTCACCTGACTACAGGACTACGGTATGCCATCAAAAAATTACGTCACTACAACGTCACCATCATGTCATAGGGATTGCCGAAGTATAATAGCGATCGCTCCGACAATGGCATCTTGCGCCGCCGATAAGAACTTTGCTAGAAGCTGGCGATCTCTCCTATCGGATCGTTGCGCACGAGAAACGACGAGAAATAGGCTTGTCGTCGATTTCGGGTTATCGTCTGCGCGTTTTGGAACGACCATCGCCATACTTCGGTGGGGGCCTTATTACGCCACTGTGACGTCGGAATGATGTAATTTTTTGGTGAAGTAGTCAGGTGGGGGTTAGGATTGACATATTATGCAAAAATGTTGAGTCAGGCCAACTAGAAGTGAGTGTGGTACTAACTATACCGGTACCAGACCCACAATTTTAATATGTCAATCCTAACACCACCTGACTGCTCATCCAAAAAGTATGTCACTGCGACGTCGAAAATGACCCCCCTCCCAAACTATACGAACTGACATCCAAGACTGGCAGATGATCAGCCGAAATCGAGCAAGCTATTTCCTCTCGTTTTGTCGTCTCAGCGATCCCGATATGAGAGATTGCCCATGTATCGGAAGGCCACAAGCACAGATGCCATTCGGGCAATTGTAGTTACTTTGGCAAGCTCGTAATTTGATTAATTTTGGATGGCGTAGTCGTTTGGTGGGGGTTACGGACATACATATCAAAAATTTGATGCTAGGCCTATTCAGCTATTGGAAGTATGTTTACTACACAAAGACCCCCAAGGTACGAAACTGGCTCACGAAGACCCCCAACTACACTAGACAGCAAATATCTTTGGCACATCTATCAAATCACCAGGCCCTACCGGTAGTTGGAGTGCTGCAACAATAATTAATATATACTTTATCTATATAATCTTTATCTATATATTCTTATATTATATACGGATATAGCCTACATATAATTAAGGAGCACTGCACTTGTTTTATCATAATTTGTTGTTATGAATACTGTAATAACAAGTACTCCGAATGAAAGTTTCCGATTGATAACAAACAAAACAATATGAAAGAAGGGGATGTGAAGCCTATATCAGGCGGGTCCCGTTTTCTGCTTTAATTTCAACCATGTGGCCCCAAAATATTATGAAACAAATTGCAGAGGAAGAAGAATCAGGTGAACAACCTGAATACTGGTATGATGAATTTGGATTCATTGTAGATGGAGAAGACGGTGCGGAACCAAACAGCAGTAAACCGAGGGGAGTTCCGCTTATGGAAGACCCACAGCATAAATTACAATGGCAAGCTCATCTTGAGTTTAGCATGAATTCTGACGTGGAAGACTTGTCATGGGATAAAATTGGACACACAATTCCTCGATCTGATAAGCTTACAAAACTTGTTCAGGGAGGTATACCACATAGTATGAGATCTGAAATATGGGCTCGTCTTTCTGGAGCTTTGCATAAAAAGATGACAAGCAAAGTTACATACAAAGAAATAATCGAAGCAAGCATGGAAGATGTTAATCTATCTTCAAAAGCAATTGAAAAAGATCTTTTACGAACCATACCTAACAATGCATGTTTTTCCAACATGGACAGTTTAGGCGTTCCTTGTCTTCGCCGTATTTTGAAGGGTTTGGCATGGTTGTATCCAGATAATGGTTACTGTCAGGGCACAGGCATGATAGTTGTCACCTTCTGCTGTTCATGGAGGAGGAAGATGTTTTTTGGACAATGTCAGCTATAGTTGAAGACCTTGTTCCTGCGTCATACTTCAACACAAACTTGATTGGGTGTACATGCTGACCAGCGTGCGCTCCGTCAACTTTGGTCCAATTCATTCCGTCTCTGGATAAGCTTTTATTAGAACATGACATTGAAATATCTCTCATTACGATGCATTGGTTTATGACCATATTAGCAGGCGTAATTCACACAAAAAATTTTGTTGCGTATATGGGATATGTTTTTTCTTGATGGTTCATAGTTCTTTTCAAGATTGTAATCGGCATGCTCAAGCTAAAAGAAGATGCATTCACAGGAATTGATAACTCTGCTGATATTTTCAACATGCTTTCTGACATACCATCATTGATCGACGATGCTGACCAACTTCTCGAATGCGCAGAAGATGCTGCTGGATCACTGACAAAAATTGTACTAGATACACATAGGAAAAAGCATCTGGCCTTTTTAATGTCTGAACATGGGACACAAAAGACTGCACAAGTTGATATTCCAAGGAAACAGGCTCTTAGGAGAAGAACCTACTTGGGTCGCCTAATATTTGGATCAGCGGTTGATGGTAAATTTGAGTACCAGAAAGCTAAAAATATAAAACAGACTGAACTTGTTGCTGATTTACGTCAGTCAATCTTGTCTATTATGAAACATTTCCAAAGTTGCCAAGAGAACCAAGAAGTCACTTTTGACCCAGATTATTCTGTTAAAAGTCATCAACATGATAGAGACACTTACATGAATGTTTCTCTTCAACGAAGACAGCGTGCTAAAGCATTGCTCAACTTTGAACGTCATGATGATGATGAGCTAGGTTTTCGTAAGAATGACATAATTACTGTTATCAATATGAAAGATGAACATTGTTGGGTCGGTGAATTAAACGGTCTAAAAGGTTGGTTCCCAGCTAAATTTGTCCAGTTGTTGGATGAAAGAAGCAAAGTTTACACAAATGCTGGCGATGACACTGTTAATGGAACTATTACAGATTTAGTCAGAGGAGGACTGTGTCCAGCAATGTCTGCGATATTCGAACATGGATTACGACATCCGGTAATGCTGGGAAATGCTTGCCATCCATGGCTTTTCATAGAGGAAGCTGCAAATTATGAAGTTGAAAAGGACTTTGATTCTGTTTTTTCCAGGCTCGTGCTGTGCAAGACATTCAGATTGGATGAAGATGGTAAGGTTCTCACACCTGAGGAATTACTTTATAGATGTGTACAAGCTGTGAATCATACACATAATGATGCTCATGTGCAAATGGATGTCAAATTTAGATCTTTGATTTGTTTGGGTTTAAATGAGCAAGTGCTCCATCTTTGGCTTGAGATACTGTGCTCGTGTACCCCTGTTGTATCCAAGTGGTATCACCCCTGGTCATTCATCATGTCACCAGGTTGGGTACAGCTGAAATGTGAGTTGAGAGTTCTGGCTCAGTTTACCTTATACTTGTCACAAGATTGGGAATTGCCAAAAAAAAAGGAATCAAAAGAGACACTAAAGACTGGAGTTCGTGATATGTTAGTGAAACACCATCTGTTTAGTTGGGATTTGTGACATGTATTTCAATTACATTAACATGGAGACTATAGTACATACAAGCTTTCATAAGCAAGATATTAAAGCTTAAATGCAATATGAACAAAACTTTAGAACTTAATTGCCAAAAGCTGTTCTTGCTCCCACTATATCAACTGCATATAATGTTTCTGACAGTGCATTAGTCATGTCATATTGAAATACCTTTTATATATAACTATTCTGGATAGTAATAGGAGATATTCAAACAAGTCTTGATTTTATATCATCAACACTCTTAAATGATCAATAGTAACTAATCAATTGTTATATAAATAAATTATTATATGGCAAAATGATTATCTTGTCAGTTCAAGCAAATTAACCACCAATCGAATTCCTGTATATTGCCTTTATTGCAAGACTCCTTATGTTGGTTGACACCTTTGTTGAATAAAACCTTGATGGTAAGTTGAAATTGTTGAGCAAATTTACCACTTCTGCTGCATTCTTCTCAGACCTTTCTCTTGTATAGATACATCAGTTGAGGTGTTCCTTTCAAGCAAAGGCATTCCATCATTAATCGTTCCACCATTACTCTCAATTGGTTGTTTTACTTACCAAAATAATTAACTAGTTTAAGCATGTATGGTTGTTTGTCTCCTCTCCTCTCTCCTGGAAGAATTGTGCAAGATAAATATTATTTATTTTTTGATTTATCATGGTCATTTTGTATTTTAGATCTGCACAATTAATATTCCATTTGCACTTGTTTTGGGTTATCACTTATTTTGCCCTCATCGTCAACTTTTGTAGTAACTTCTTGTATACTTAAAAAAAATTGTGTGTTTACATTATTTGTTTCCTTGAGTTTGGTGCTTAGCATTTATACACAACTCTTTTTGTCAAACCTTTTTTCAGAATGTACTACTGTTCCAATGGGGATAGAATGCATCAAACTTGTTTGCACATCTTTTTACATTTGTCATGAAGCAATGAAAATTTTTTTTTCTGAAGAGCATTTACAATCGGGCCAAACATGTTTGAGAATATTTCCTAAACTGCAAATGTAACTTTAATAATAGTTGGTACTCGGAAATTGAATTGTAATTTACTGAATTGAGTTGATTCAAAATCTCGTTCTTGTGTTTTATCAGCAGAACGGGGCTTGGATTTATGCTGTATTGTTGATGACATTTGAATTAGTCTAGTTTTTGTAAGTGTAATTTATTTTTCTTGTACTGTAGTTTGTAGTGTACTCGTAGTGAATTCCTGGGATTTTTGTGCATTAACGTTATTGGGCTAAATGCAATAAATATTTTACATCAACTTTCGTGTGAGTTTTATTCTCACTATCTGCAATTTCCCATTCCCGTAGCAGCATTTACAATAGGAAAGATTACACTTTTACAATTACATGTATATGTGAAAGTAGGGATGGGCAATGTAGAATCATTTACTATTCTAGAATAGTTAAATCGAATACTGAATCCTATTCTATTTTCGTACTTATTCAAATAGTGGGAATTTCCGCATTGCTGGATTTAGATGTTAAAAAATTGTAAATGTATTACTATAAATGTATTATTTATTTGGAAATGTCCTGAACATTGGATTTCATTTGATACTAAACAGGCAATAAAATGTGGGAATATTACAATTTTTTTGCCTTCAATTGTTCCAAATGTATGTAATCCCTTTAATAGTAAGCGGTTTAATACAAAAATAAGCACGGTACTCCTGAAGTATGCGCACCAAGATGTCGCATAACCTGAACCCTAACCTGGTACAAAACCTGAGTTCAGGTTGTGCACCATCTTGTTGGGCATACTTCAGGAGGTCCCAAAAATAGATATGAAACGGCGTTAAATCATTATTAATGTTAGTTTGCCGAGTGTACTAAAACACATACCCGCTGAGAATTAATTAGATGCAGGACCAGCGTGTGGCCACTACAGACTATGCGCCGTTGTAAAATATTAAATTCAACAGCTATCAATTAAAATCAACTTTTCATTCTGTGCGAAGAGACTCTTAAAACTAAGTTCCCGTAAACGCGATTTCGTACGTAGTTATTCGTTAACATCTAAAGACCGAATTCATTTTCTTTGATTGTCGTTACATATCATTATCTACCCAGACTTGGCCTTACTCAAACTTGGCAACTTCTTTTTTAATTTATCGCGTTTTGCGATATAACTTTGTATTTCGGAAAATTGTGTGATAAAATTATTTGTACACAGGGATGGTCATTTCCGAATACTAAACTATTCCGAATACATTCTAAAATAATGTTTTTGAATCTGGAATTCCGAATACATTCTAAAATCGAAAATAACACATTTTGGTTTTAGTTTATTAAAGTCCAGTAAAATAGGAAATAAGCTTCAATAGAAATATTAGAATAAAGCCACAAACCAACAATGTACACAAAGTAATCGATAGTTTATAGCTATCAATAAAAATAATAGCAACTTGTGACATTATTAAAATTGTACACTTTGTATAAATGATCATATGAAAAGATAGCCAAGGAGTTGTTTGACGCTTTCTATCATTGGTACCATGATATTACGATAATAGCCAAGTCTATTGACAAAAATACTACTTGTATTCAGATAATTGTGTATATTTCCTGAGAGTAATGAAATTCATTGGCAATTCAGGCAACTGATGCAAGCAACAAGTTGTACATCATATTTGACATAAATTAATCGTTAAGTAATGTCATAACATTTAACGCCTGGCTTTTGGTTTACATTTCGGAAAACTCACAGGTAGCAAAAAATCATTTAATGTAAAATGAGGCAAGGCATGTCTGTAAACAATTAAAGATTGTTGTAATCAGATTATCGGAATATCGCCTGTAAGTCGCACAAATAATTATTATTACTATACGCTAGCTAGATAGCAAAGCAGGAAAACGCAGAAATGATGCAAGAACCATTCTTGCCGTGTGGTGTACTTCGCCAACTTCGTGTATTGAATATTCCGATTGAGATTACAGTGTATGATGTTTAGCGATTTTGCGGTTTTTTACGAGAAAACGGAAGTATAACGAGAGAGATTTCCACGCAAGAGAAAACGCTCGTATTTGATTAATAAATTACTAAAATTAGACACGGGAAATATAAAATTGCCGCATGGCGCCGAAGAGGCGGAAACCGAATCCTGTTATCGCAATGTTTCCCAAACTGTGGGTCGCGACCCCCGATGGGGTCGCGTGAAGATTTTCCGGGGTCGCCTAATTTCTATCATACATGCGCACACAAGTGACTAAGATTTGGAAGTTGGAAAGTTAAATTTGTTTTGGACGAAATATACAATTTGTGCTAAGCAGACCTAATTATTTAACAAAAAACACAAGAAATCAGTCTTTCTGGTATTTAAAATTTTTATCGTGATTTTGCCGCTTTAAGAGGATCTTCGTTAGTTCTCACAAAGCTTATGTCCAAATTTGTAATCTTTACGGAAATATAATAATTAATGAACTATCACCAAGACAAGAGCTGTCAGCAAGGCGTCCTAAAACAGGCGGCTATGCGAGCCAGAAAACTGACTGAAAAATGGAATCCTGCTCATAAGAGAGCCTCACACTAACAGTGCATTATAAACTAAAAACAAGAAACACAAGATACGCCGCAGTTTTATTGACTAAATTTTTCAACAAATCTCACTAAATTAAATTTTTAATTCTCCCAAATTAAGGTGAATGCTGTAATAATGTTATTATACATTTCGCAATTGTTCAGCTTATTACTTATCGATCTTAAGATCGGTAAGTAAGGTATGTTGATGGGTATTTGTCCATCTGTTAGATGTACGCGATATCTCACGAAAGCGAGGTTGAATCTGCTCCAAATTGCATGTGCGTTCCAAATTACATGTGCGTTCACCGTAGCTCGGACCAGAAGCCTATTATTTTTGGATGAATTATGTCGTGTAATTAGCGAGTTATTAATTAATCAGTGATGGGACCCACGGTGTCACTATGGAGTAAGAGCGCTGTTTTGGGGATCCCCTAACTTTCGATCGATAAGTCTTCGGTCTCCGACCGATATTCTCGTTTTGATGTTATGTCATCGGGAGGTCACGGTTGACGAAACATGTCTTATCCACAAATTTCAACTCACTCCTATTTGAATGAACCCTACATATATAGAGGACTTGCATGGGTCATGTGACTTTGTTACTGGACGGCAATAAAACAAAAACGTCCATTTGGCTCCTGTCAGTTGCAAGTCGGATTATACTTTCCGTTTTGTTGGGATGTTCAAAATGGTTATTTCGTATTGTTCCGTTGGCTGTACATATAGTATAGACAACGAAATGGATCTTCAGTTATATTCCACTGATTTCAAAAGATCCGGAACGTCGCGCAATGTGGATATCATCTATTGCCTATTGGCAGAACTGCTTGTTGTCAAGTCCAGAAGCCATCTTACTTGTGTTTCACTGTTTACGGACAGCACTTCGTTGATGGTGAGTGATATTGTGGTGATAGTGTGCCGTTATCAATTTCTTTAAATATTCACAAGCTCCCTCATTTCAATGGAAAGCAGATGACAAACTACCGTACTGTTATTAGTAGGCCTAGGCGTGGGCCTACTTGCAGTTGCAGACTTGACTTGTGTAAGACAGTAGGCTTGCACGTAATTTACGGATCTACGGAATTACGGAATTATTTCGAGTTACGGAAGCGAAGTTACGAATTACGTAAATTCGTAAGTATTGGTGGAGCGCTTTCGCGATTGCAACGAGCTCTCTTTAGAGCAGTCAATTCCGTCGATTGTAAAAAATTAAAGTTTAATAAGTAGAAGAAGTTAGAGTTCCGGTATTCGCAGCCGTTTTTTTCTCTCTTGTTATGCAGATGGAGAAGGCATAACGCGTTGCCATTTACTAACCTATTACCAACTTATCTAGCATGGCAAATGTACATATCAAGCGTAGATATGGGATAGAATTGTGTTGAGACTGATGGACGCCAACACACCTGGTTTCAACTTCTTCGGGTGAAATGACTAAAGAATGTAAGAGATCAACTTATAAAACATGGTCTATTTGTAAATGCCGTGATAATTAATGTCGCGCTTATCAAACAGCAATATGACGACGGAAGAGAACTTGCGTAATGAACCAACGCAACTTAGTCTTTCCGGCATCGGTAAAGCGATTCAGACGGCAGAGAAACAACAAAAAGACGGGATTTACCATGTTTATTCTGCGCGAGATCCATTTTCTATTACAAAATCTTGATGTTCTGTTACCGGTTTTATCCTTATATATCTGTCCGTACTTGGCCTTGTTTTCACAATGCCTCGTACTATCTCGGCCAAATATGTCTTCACAATATCTTTAAGTCTTTACCAAATGCGGCAACTTATTTTGATTTATCGTCGACTCAAATACCACCGGCACTCGACCAAACTTGTGTCAATCTTAGCCGATAGGATTGTCGACTTGAGTTAGAAAAGTAAATTAATATTTTCGTGAGTGCAAAATAAATGCCACCAAATGCATTGTTTTGCGATATAACTTTGTATTTTCGGAGAAGGCATGTCACATAAGTACGGTATTTAAATAATGCGCAAATAATTAATATTTAATCTAAATTTATCGCAAATAATGTTATAACATTTAGGCCGCGAAATGATTTAATGTAAATGAAGCATGGTAATCGGAATATCGTCAATAAGTCGGCATCAATAATTATTATAAAATGCTAACTAGGTAGTGAAGTCGGATAATGTAAAAAAAAACGGTACAATAACAAGTCTTCGTCGTGAGGCAAGTATAATCAAACGAGAGAATACGCTCGTCGTTGATTTATAAATTAGAAACCCGGAATTTTTATTTAATACGAAACTCGTAATACGAAACTCGTATTAATACGTTAATACGATTTTAAAAAAGTCAACTATCGTTTCATAAATATATTACCACATACCAGTGTTGGTAATGATAAAATTGATCGCATAAAATTGGGTGATAAAGTTGATAAAGGAAAATCAAAGCTAACACAAAAGATAAAAATCAGAATAAAATTAATTTGAATTCACTCCTTGATATTTGTCTTTAGCATATGTCGCCGGCGTGTAGTACTGGCGGAAATATGAAAACCAAACTGTCCCAACTGTCGATGTCCCATTCGGAATAGAAGTGGGTTAAATTGGTTGTTATGATAGGTTTAAAAGTGTGAAAAAAATATCGCAATTACGGGGTCATTACGTAATCGATTTGGCCGTAATTACGGAATTGATTTTTGTCAATTACGTGCAAGCCTATAAGACAGTAAGGAATTAATAATCAATTGCTATAAGGTATTGTTT